AGTAATATATATATAAGATCAGGCAGAAAGAAATTACATTGGGAGATTCGGTAGCAGACTTCTTCTTCTTGGAGATAACTTCATCATCATCAATCAAATCAAAATGTCTCTTGGCTCTTGATTTTTTGGGTTTCCTTCCTATGGTCTTCATTCTTATAGCTTTCTGGAGAAGAAGTTTAAGTAAGGGAATGGTATGCATCAAAAAGGATATATATGATTTGGTTAGGAGTATTACCTGAGTAGCCGATGATGGGGGAATACTCTGCAAAGGAACATAGAAATCAATGTGAGTTTCTTCAGATTTGGTACCCGACTTCTCTGGTGCATTGGAATATGTGCCTGGAATTACATTATCCATTGTTAAGTATCATGTAAACCAAATAGAAGTATTAATGGAAAGGAGAGGATAGAAAACTTACTTTGCCGAAAGCGAGATCTGGTCCTACCTACAGGAGCTGTTGGAGGAGGACGAGTTGGTGCAATATTTGTTATGTTCTCTGGCTCCGGAGCGGTAGTAAGATAAACGGGTTCAAGGGAAACAACACCTTGAAAATTGAGGGATATGAATTTGTAGGAGCCAAGGAGGGTGGATACAAGTTGACTGGAATCTACAGTCCTGGTAAAATTAATATATGATGCCCACCAGGTTTCAAAGCTTGGATCTATATGCGGTTCTTCTAGAAAGGATTTGTACTGAAATTCTTGAAGACATTGGGTAAACCGATTGGTAACATCTTGAATCTATTCACTGTTTGAGAGCTTAACCCGCTTGTGATAGTTCTTGTTGTAAGAAAAATGGGGAGGCACTGGGATCATCTGCGTCAATCCAAATTGCCGAGCTAAGTGTGCTGGGTTGTAAAACTCAACCCCAGTTCGGCTCTTGGGCAAATTGGGAGCAACGGTATTGCAAGGTATATCTCTTGCGATCAAGAAGTGGCCCCATGAAGATATAAAGGTCAATCTGTTCAGGAGAAGACTTGGCAGTAGGGGGAAAACAACCAAGATGGAGCTAGTTGACATTTGGAAAAGGGAAGGAATTGGGATTGAGTCCTGATTTTGCACTGATGTAGAAGAATTAAAAACAGTCATTAAAGGAATGGTATTTGGGTTTGACTCTAGCATATCCGAATGACAGCAAAGGATCATTTGGGGCAAGCCGAATAGGAAGAGCAAGTTCAGGAAAATATGCATGCAACCAGAATTGGTAAAGCCAAAATAGTCCTCCAGACCTTGAAAAGTTGGACATAATGAGGTCAGACAAGCCTTTGTATAAAGAGGCTAAGAGAAATGGAGTTAATGCCATGGGTTTTCCTTTCGATAGGGCAATAGCCAGTTGAGTAAGGTCCTTGGTGATCTGAATGGCAGGGGCACACAATAAATATCTACACAACCACAATAGTAGAAACCCTATATGTTCTTGTTCATCTACATCGGTCCCTTCTTCCCCTAACATTTCTTTTAAGAAAGGACCATGTGATTGCACAAAGGGTTTAGCCCCTTTTTGTTTTGGAAAATAAAAAGAGATCTCTTCATCTTGAAGGAGATAATTGATTTTATCTCCCCTAGGCTTTAATCCCGTTAAAAAACAGACATCCCTCAAGGTAGGAGCCATCATGCCACAGTGCAAGTGTAGAGAATTGGTTGTGGGGGACCAAAAGTGTAAAGAAGCAAAAAACAAGGCTCGGTCAAAAGTAAAAGGGATCTTACTGAGTTGAATGAGGTCGTAAATTCCCATCCTTTTCCATTGCTCTCATTTTGCTACTGATACACGATCCACCCAGTCGTTCCATTGGAGCATTGGTGGATGCCAATTTCGGACAGAGAGGGTGGGTCTGTCCCCTTCTGCTGTCAGATAGAGAGGTTTTAAGAAAGGAAGTTGTTGCTTAGCCTGGGGATAAATTGAGGATAACGAAGGAGGGAATTGATTAAGAAACGCTGGGCTAAGTCCCTTAACGTTCTCTGTGATATTGATCAAGATAGTAGTATTCAAGTCGGCCAGGGCTAGGGTTTTGATTACCGATTTCGTCATGTGGGTGTGCGATGTTGCTTCAGGAGAGGGATTCTCTAAAGTCAAATCACTTTGCTTCTGTGATTTTGAAGCCATAGTTGTAAGAAGAATTTGATTGCAGCGAGAGTTTCAGGAAGAGAAGAAGGGTTTGCAGAGTCTTGTTCAAATGAGAGAAGAGACGTGTTTTTAGTGGAAAAAGAGAGGATTATCACAATGTCATTAATGACGAGATGGGTTAGTGTGATCGGCATTTTTGGGAAATCTACTCCTGATATAACTCAAGAGATTATATGATATGTATGCTAAGTCCCAATGCAATGGGTGTATTCAAATTTTGGAAGCCTAAGGGTTAAAACGGCTACCAAAATTGGGGGGCATTGTTGACACCCATTTTGGTAATTGGGTTTGGGCTTTAATTGGATGTGATACGCAGGGCAAAGTTGTCATGGGCCAAGAATACATGGACTTGATAACTGATGGAAACAAGTATTTGGGCTGCACGAATATTGGGCTGTTTGATAGACTGATGGAAGCAGGCTTGACAATGTGATTCAAAGGACTGGATTACAATTATGATGGCATTAGTACAGTAACAGGGCAAAGTTGTGATCGGATAGGAAGATTTTTAAGATGTTTTGAGACACTTTATGTCAGATAAGATTTGTTTGGTTAGTTAGGGATTAATCTTTATCTAGGAATCTTAGTTTGAATTTAAAATTAGTAGAGAGTTTTATTGGAATTAGAATTCTTGTTGGTAGGAATTGGTTTACAATATTGTGTATAAATAAACAAAAGGGTATGCTTTACTAGTGGTCCAGCACCTTCAGAATCCTCATTATTATTTTGTTTGCTTTCTCAAGCACTTTCCTCAAATAGCATCCTTGCTATTTTTATCTCTCTCTCTATTTCAGTCTTTTTCTATTTCTCTCCCCATATCTCTTTCTCCCTATCTCTTCTCCCTATCACTTTCTATATCTATTTCTTCCCTTTTCTATTCTCTTGTTATGTTACTATAAATTATTTAGGAAAGTCCTTTTAACTAAGGCATTTTTGAACCCAAAAGAGGAATTTATTTGTTCCCTTTTTTCTGGTATCGTCTAAAAGTCAACTATCTCAAAGAAACTAAAGTTGACAAATTACAATTGAACCATATATTTGGTTCTGGCACGCCCGCATCTCATCAATTTAAGATCGGCTTTAACCAACCGATTTTAAGGTCAACAAATACTGGTGTAATTTATGCTATGTGCTTAGATAAAAATGACTTCTCAAAGTAGGGTGGGAATGTTGACTCAAATTCTGGTTGAATAAAAACATACTGTGGGTGGTTGTTTATTTAAACTTTAAAAAATAATGAAATTTTTTTTTTTTTTTTTAAAAAAGATACCTTACTCCAAATTACATGCAAGAATTGATACTTTCATTACATATTGATCAATGAGTATGAGTTAAGATCCTCTACATGATTGAGATTATTTCACACTCTAGTTTGAGAAGTCATTTTCATCGAGGCACATAGCATTCGTGTCAATCTAGCAACTGAGTATCTTTGGTTTTTTTTATTTTTTTTTTTATTTTTTTATTTTTTCCTTTTCTTTTCTTTTTGACTGGGAAATTAGAATATTTGCACCAAAAAGCAATGTTTATGTCCTTTCACGACAACGACTTCAAAGTTCAAACTACACGCAAGAATTGATTCTTTTATCATAGAATGAAGTAATGCTATAATGCTGGATGGATCGAATTTTTGAGCATTTCTCTTTAAACTTTATATCAATAATTGTTACATTAATAGATAACAAATATCCATCCACAAATTTACCTTTATACTGTCATGTCAACTAAGTCTAAATGCATTATTTCATTTCTAATAAAAATATCAAAGAGAAACAGTAAATAAAGTGACAACAAAAATTGCGTAAATAGTACTTAAAAAAAATAAAAATAAAAAATCATTTTTAACAATTTAATTGAAATTTAACTATATATTTACTTTGTGTTTGGAAACAATAAAAACTATGCTTACTAGTGAATCAGATTTAGATCGATCTTAATACATAGAAACTATGCTTACTATTAACTTTTTAACAGAATATATTGATAAATGTCAATCTCCTTGTAATGCTCAAAATACATTCAATCATCGCCCAAGGGGTCCATTCATTTGCGAAACGAAATTTCATCACTATAACCACCAAAAAAAAAAAAAGTGCCTCGCTCTTCCTTATCATATGCTTAATGAAATTTTTAATAAACCGAAAAAAGTAAAAAAGAAAAAGTAGAAAGGAATCAGCATTAAAGTTCAAGAAAAGCAAAAAATGCCAAGATCAATTTGTAAATAAAAAAAATTACATATAGTAAAAATAATAGAGACATGAAATTTTGAAGATATCCACATCTCCTTTGATGGAAACATAATTTTTTTTTTTTTTTGAAACTAAAAATTTAAAAGAATTAGTTGAGGCATTCTATAAACTCGAATAGTATAATCTCTCTATTCTCAAATAAGAGGCGAGTGTAGTGTTATCCGAGTGATTGAATTGCTCTCCATATTCAGGAGTCCGTGTTTGAGCCTTGCACTCTCCTCTCCCCACTAACCACTAACGCTTAATGAAAAATTTTAATAAAGCGAAAAAAGAAAAAAAAAAAAAAAGTAGAAAGGAATCAGCATTAAAGTTCAAGAAAGACAAAAAAATGGCAAGATGAATTACTAAATAAAAAAATTATAGTAAAAATAATAGAGACATGAAATTTTGAGGATATCTACATCTCCTTTGATGGAAACTTAATTTTTTTTTTTCAAACTAAAAATTTTAACAAATTGGTTGAGGCATTCAACAAACATATTGGCTTTATCAATTGGTAATTAGTGAAATAGTATAATACTCTATTCTCAAATAAGAGGTAAGTGTTGTGTTACTCGAGTGGTTAGGTTGCTCCACATATTTGAAAATTGTGTTTGAACCTTGTATATTTCCCCTCTCCACTAGCAACTAACCCCTAACATTCTTACCATAAATATATATGTATATATATATTCTCAAATAAGAGGGAAGAGGCTCTAGCAAGGCTATGAGTAGGAGAAAAAAATAATAATAAAGGAAAAAAAATGGCATGAGGGATTATGATGCTTAATATCCACGACGAAAAGATTAAGAAAAATGAAAAATAAAATTACAAATTGCCATCCAAATGGTTATATATACCCTGCCTATCTTCCCCTTGGTTACATACACAACTTTTCCTTCTTTTCTTGTTAATGTTTACTTAATTTGCTTCCCTCATATCCTTTCTTCCACTGCTACCATAAACGACCCTCGTAACCTTCATTGGACATCTGCTTCAACCAAGGTTTCTTTTTTCTTTTTCCCTCTTAAATAGCTTATTTTTCTTTTGCGTTTTCATTTTATTTTTCCTATTGATTATCAAATAGGTTATTATAAAAAAAATTAGTTGATCACTTGTACTATTTTAATAGTCTTCATCTAGAAATTTGTGGAAGAGCATTTACACAGCAATGCCAAATTACATTCTTTTAGATATTAGTAAACTAAATTCGACCATATTAGGGGTGTGACTTTTGCTTTGATAATGAGCTCGTTCGCGCATGTCATCAGTATTTTTGTCTTAATCACATATGAATAAAACTCTAGCTTTCATACATATGTATTCTACATATTTGTAATGGCATAATTATCCGTACACCAAAATTAGTGTGTACATGCTAATGATTAGAAGTATCAAGATGTGTTACATGTACGAACGGGAAATTTTATCATAGAAACACAAAAATTGAATTTAAAAAGAAGGTAGGGTTAAGGATTCGATTTTTGTGTGTGGAAAAAATATATATGAGTATAATAATGCAAGAGAAGATAACGCATGATGATGAGCTATTCTTCCACAGGAAAGTATACAATATTACTTACATGTGATACGGTCAGTTTAGAGGTTTATACCACATATTAAATACTCCAAAGTATTGTATACTTTTTCCTTCTTTCACATGCATTATGTACGTTAGATATATGCCTATCCAATACATACTTGCGTGCATGAGAATGCACATACAAATAAAGGAGAATTTATTTCTTGAACTGTTCTCCCTCTCTAATTGATTTCTACTTATTTTGAAAGCATACATGCATACATACATATATATATATTACGCGCGCGCGCGCACACGCGCACACACACATATATATATATATAGCTTTCTTGTGCAAACTTTTTTTTTTCTTGATTAATTCTGGTTGAAACTTTTTTAACCGCTTAAAGGATACCATGGAGAAGAAGCATGTTACTATCGGTCCCTTTGGAGGCCAAGGAGGAAAGCCATGGGATGACGGAATTTACACTGGCATAAGGCAATTAATTATACACTCCGATGTAGTTATCGACTCCATCCAAATTGAGTATGATCAGAATGGACAGTCAAAATTATCTGAAAAGCATGGTGGTGAAGGCGGAGGGGGGAAGACGGTTAGTCCCTTAAAATTTATGTTTTAAATTTGAGCTGATTGAGCATATATCAAATCTGTGTTTAATTTACAAATACATAAATTTTAAATTTGTGAAATGGCCTCAACTTAACATCTCATTATATTTCAATGCTACTACTTATTCTCCTTATTTTTGGTCAATCAATCAATCGTTATAGGTCAAACTTGACTATCCGTCCGAATATCTCCTTTCAATCTGGGGCTATTATAGTTCTGATTGTGCATTGACATGCGTTCAATCTCTCACAATTGAAAGTAATAAGAGAATATATGGACCATTTGGTACAGAGAAGGGAAAATATTTCAAGTTTCCACTAACAAGAGGCAAGATCATAGGATTTCATGGGAGGTCTAGTAACTATCTTGATTGCTTTGGAGCATATTCGGAGCCCATTTCGGATCCAATTCGATCCATATCTGATGGCCCATTTGGTGGCCAGGGTGGAGATCAATGGGATGATGGGAAATACAATACAGTGAGGCAATTCAAAATATCTCATGGTTCAGTAATTGATTCCATTCAATTTGAATATGATGACAACGGAAAATCAAAATGGTCTGTGAAGCACGGTAGAAGTGATGGTGGTAACAAAAGAACGGTTAGATTATTACAATCTGTTTAATTCAATGTGTTGTGAGTAATTTAATTTCTTTAGTACTAATTATACTTTAATTATGCAGGTCCAACTTAACTACCCAGATGAGTATCTTATCTCGATCTCTGGATACCTTACTAAGGATTCTAATAAGGCAGTTATTCAGTCGCTCACAATGCAAAGCAACAAAAACCAGTACGGACCATATGGTGCGGAAAAGGGAAAGCATTTCTCAACAACACAATCAGGCAATGGAAGGATAGTTGGATTTCATGGAAGGTCTGGTCTCTATCTTGATTCGATCGGAGCATACTTTGAGTCATTCCCTGTACATGTAGATACACACCAACCCATGATTCTTGGACCTTTGGGAGGTTCCGGTGGAAATCAGTGGGACGATGGTGTTTACAATACAGTGAGACAATTTATCATATGTGCTGGAGTAGTCGTTGATTCGATACAGATCGAGTATGAGAAGAATGGACAGTCAGTATGGTCTATGAAGCACGGAGAAAGTACTGGTGGACATCAGCACACAGTTAGTCCATTATCTTCTGTTTGATATATATTCGCATTTCCGACACACACACACTCTATTAGTTCTTAATTATTTCTTAAATAACACACACACACTGTCCCGCTAAGGGCTCAACCTCTTAATTCTCCTTTGGGGAAGAAAGTTCATTGCATCTACCATTTGATACACACACACACACATGAGAGAAAATTCTTTACAGTGGTAGTATGTGTAAGATATAAATTTTGTAATTGGCGAATTTCGTTGTCAAAACAAGTCCTATCAAGTTATAATCTTTTCAGTTCGATTTCAAAATTTTAGATCGGAAGCGGAATTAAAGGTTGTTCATGAATCAAAGCTTAATATACTCCCAGAAGGTGAGAACAACACTTTAGGAAGGTAAGTTAGAAGGTAAGAATACTTGCATGAATTGCATGCTTTCAATTTGAGTGTTGCAAAATTTCTTTAAGTGTAAAAACTTTCTGTTCCAAGTCTGGCCAACTTGAATCGGTTCAAGACCACCTGAACCGGTTCAAGTGTCAAAGTTAGTTAGGCTCTTTTTTTTTTTATTTTTATTTTTTATTTTTTAACTTTTCACTAGCCAACTTGAATAGGTTCAATTTATGCTGATGTTTTTGGTAACTTTGTTTCCTACTATGTTTTGACTTCATATATTGCATAGACTTTTACCTTAATAGTTAGGCACGAAATTGACTTATTTTCTATGTACAATTAGAGTTTCTAAAGTCTATAAAATATATCTTCTCACTTAGGGTTTTACGACTTTTTGCATCAAAATTCTGATTTTAATTGAGAACCAATTATGTGAGATTTTTCTGAGAGCACACACACTATATACACAAAAGTGAATTAGGGTGTTGTTCAAAACCTTATCGAAGTTCAAGCTATTGAAGATTCCATCAATATTGATTAGGGAAAGCAGATTTCATTCATTCAATAACAAATTCAAATTTGAAAAAGAAGATTTTCTGATCACATTTTGAAGGGGTCAAGGCACTTACGGAGTGTTGTTGATCTACAAGTAATCTTTCTGCAAGGTTTTTATTTTATTTTTTAATAATTCTTTCTACAAGGTTTAAGGAGTAAGTTTGAAGTCGAGAGTTGTCAGACGGGAGGTCACAAAGTTAGGGGAGTTCCGCAAGTTGGGTCTTGGTAGACATAAGGGGTATAAGACTGAGTCAAAGTTCAATGTATTTTGCTTCATACATAGTGGATCGATCATTTTACGCTCGGGATAGCGTAAAAAACCTTGAGATTTTCTAATTGGTTTTCTCGCTAAAATTCGGTGATACTCTAATTTTAGTGGCTTATTATTTTGCCATGTGATTATTAATTAACCAGCAAATTTACCACGTGATTAAATCTCTCTAAAACGGCTTTTAAAAGTTGACTTTCTACATTCTATTCTACTGCACTTCTCACAATATGTATTCAAATTTTAGTAGCACACATTGTTTTTCTCAAAAAAATGAATAACACTGGTGTATAAAAATGGTATATATAAATGATTCTTAATATTTTTGAATGGAACTCTTGTAGGTTAAATTTGACTCTCCTGATGAAATTCTTGTTTCAATCTCGGGCTACTATAGTTTGGAATCTGCATTTTTTGGACTTCATTCACTCACAATTCACAGCAATAAACGAACATATGGACCATTTGGCACTGAAATTGGGAACCATTTCACAGTTCCGGCAACGCATGCTGTCAAAGAAATTATTGGACTCCATGGAAGATCTAGTTCTCATCTTGATGCGATCGGTGCATATTTCACGCCAAAGCCAATTTTTACTGTTGAGCCATTCGGTAGCCAAAGTGGAGATGCATGGGATGATGGCAAGTACAGTGGAGTGAAACAGTTAGTAATATGCTCTGGAATAGTTATCGACTCTATCCAAATTGAGTATGATCAGAATAGACAGTCAAAATGGTCGCAAAAACATGGCGGTGGAGGTGGAGATAAAAACACGGTTAGTCCCAATAAAATATATATTTGTAATTTGAATTAATTGAATATCAAATCTGTGATTAATTTTACATATATACATATACATTTATATATATATATATATGCATATATTTGTTTATTTTAATTTATATACACAAAGAAGGACAATGCTTGTCTTAGGCCATGTAATAAGGAAGTTCCTTCTTCTGGTGATGTGGTTCAATATATAAAACACTGACATTTGTCTCAGCTTAAAAAAGTTGGATCAGATCCATTTCTAATGGGTTAATCCGGATAGAATTCATATTACATATACAAAATTACCCATTTACAATACACAACATCAAAACCCTAATATTTATAATCTTCTCATCTGTCTGTATGTCCCATTTCTCCCTCATCTCTCTATGGTAACATATTTTGCCCGGAACAGAGGCACTAATAAAGATTTCATGCCCTTCAATCACAACCTTATAGTTTTGGCGGAGTGACAGTGAAGAACAAGAGAATATCTATAATTGTTATTCCCAAGTTCTAATGAGTCAACCCTAATTCAATCCAAGTATGCTAAGAAGAAGAAGAGGAATAGTGGAGTGGAGAGAGAGTGGCGGTCGCTGTGGGTTTATGCAGCAGAAGATATATGTGAAAAGTTTGAGTCTTCAAAAAAAGAATTAAAATCTGTGTCTTTCTATTTTAATCAACTTTACTTAATTTAACAATTAATCAATTAATCACACGCAAGATAAAAATATAGTAAAGCAAATAGAGTTTGAGAAATGATACTAGGATTTTTAGCAAGGAAACCCCAATTAATAGAATAGACCAATTGTTATGGGAAAAACCTCGTGAATTGTGCAGTTCAAAGTAAACCGATCTACTATGTTTGAAATAAAGTACAATGAACTTTGATTCAGGCTCACACCCTATCATTCTACTAAACACCAATTGCTAACAATCTTCTGGCTTTGCGATGTCCCGTCAAACAGCTCTTGACCTTAAGCTTACTCTTGATCTCTGTACAAGGATTGCTGGTAGATCAAACAATAGTACTCCTCGAATGCTTTGATCCTTTCAAAGTGTGATCGCTTCACCTCTATTTTTCAAGATTTGAATTTGATGTAGAAGAAGTAAATCTACTTTCTTTGATCGTTGTAGATATAATATTCAATAAACTTTGAACACGATCAGGAATTGAACAAATACTCTAAACTCAATCATGTGTTTATGTGTATGTTCTAGAAATAAAGACAAAAAAATTAGATTAGATTTTCTGCAAAATATCTCTCAAATAGACTTTTTAAAAATCAGAAGATGTAATGCAAAAGCCGTGTCAACCTAGATGTAAATCAAGGTTTATATAGACTCTTCAAAGACCTAGATATGCATAGGAAAAAGGTAATTTTCATGCATAGGACTTTTGGAAAAAAGTATATACCAAATAGCTAGGAATTAAGTATAATCAGAACAGGAAACAAAGTTACCTAAACTGCATAAGACCTTGAACCGGTTCAGGGAAAGTTGAACAGGTTCAAGATGGCAAGTTAAAAATTGAAGAGTACGTTCTTTTGATTCTTGAACTGGTTCAAGAAAGGCTGAACCAGTTCAAGATGGCCAGTTTTGAACTTAAAGGCTTGACACTTGAAAAATTTTCTAATTTGAAAAGTTTGAAAAACATACCAAGAATGAAAAGTATCATAACCTTCTAACTCAACTTCCTAAAGTGTTATTCATACATTTTTCATAGATCGTATATCAATTTTGAACAACTTTCCAATTCCGTATCCGATCTCGATCTTGAATTTTCAACTTGAAATTACAACTTGATTGAACTTGTTTTGACACCGAAATCAGCCAATACAAAATATATCTCACAGTGGCGTGAAGAGTGGCAGTGGTGGTGCGACGGCTGAGGAGTGGTGGTGATTAAGGTTTTGGAATGAAATACTCCTCGATCTGTAATCCGTCTTTATATATATATATATATATATATATATATATATATATATATATATATATTTGGTACACACATCAATCTTTTTTTATGACACATCACCAATTAGAAGAACTCCCTTCTTATAAGGCCTAAGGTAAGTATTATCGTTTAAATTTAACCTACAAAAGTAACTCACTTTTCTTTGTGTGCTTTTATGCTTGAACAATACTTTGGTAAAACTTGATCTCATTATAATTTTTTTTCCATTCTCTATTATGTTATCACTTGCAAATCTCAATGCTATTGCCTAACTCCCTCATTTTTGGTTGATCAATTGTTATAGGTCAAATTTGACTATCCGTCTGAGTATCTGCTTTCAATCTGGGGATATTATAGTTCGGATTGTGCAGTGACATGTGTTCAATCTCTCACAATTGAAAGTAATAAGAGAATATACGGACCATTTGGTGCAGAGAAAGGAAAATATTTCAAGTTTCCATTAACAAGTGGCAAGATTGTAGGATTTCATGGTAGATCTCATCACTATCTTGATTGCTTTGGAGCATATTTGGAGCCAATTTCAGATCCCAATCAATCCAAATCTGTTGAGTCATTCCTAGATATACGCCAACCAACAATTGTTGGACCTTTCGGAGGCTACGGTGGAAATCATTGGGACGATGGTATTTACGCTACAGTGAGACAGTTTATCATATATGCTGGAGTAATGGTTGATTCCATACAGATTGAGTATGATAAGAATGGAGAGTCAGTATGGTCTCAGAAGCATGGAGAAAGTACTGGCGGGAGCAAACAAACGGTTAGTCCATTTTCATCCGTTTGATATATATATATATATATATATATATATTTCTCATACATATTCACATTTCACACAAAACGGTTACTTCTTCATTGTTTCTCAATTTTCTTTTCTTTTTGGTCTTTTTCTTTTCGTAAGTTGAAGCAAATACACACCAACAAATTGTCCCATTAAGCTCCAACTCTTTATCTCTCGTCTACTATTTGACGTACACTACATACTCTGAGATGATCTCAATCGTTCTCAGTACACCGGAGTGTACAAGAGCACGGGAGAGAATTTTGTTTCATGTGTAATATACTATATTTTGCCCTGTGAAATAAATGTTATTTAAATAGTCAAAAATTTAATTGGCTATATAAAATATGAGGTGTTTGTAAGAATATTGTTAAATTTTCTTCTCTATAGTTCTTCATTTGTTACGCAAATAATGGCATCCTTCTTAATTTTGTCAATGGCACTCTTGTAGGTTAAATTTGACTATCCAGATGAATTTCTTCTTTCAATCTCGGGCTACTTCAGTTTGGAATCTGCATTTGCTGCACTCCAGTCACTCACAATTCACAGCAACAAAAGAACATATGGACCATTTGGAAGTGAAATCGGGAACCATTTCACATTCCCGACATCATATATTGGTAACAAAATTATTGGACTCCATGGAAGGTCTGGTTCTCATCTTGATGCGATTGGTGCATATTTAATGTCCAATCCGATTTGATTTCCAAGCTGATTTGGTAAGATTGTTGGGTTCTGTGGAGGGTCTGGACACTGTCTTGATTCCATCGGAGCACATTTTCGGTTGTTCGAGCCACTTCGATTATATATACTAGTATTTGGATCAATAAACCTGTGCTTGCATTGGATGTGATCAGAATAATGGATGCTCTATGTTGTCCTTGCTAATTAAAGCTAGCGAGGCGAAAATAGTGAAGTTAACAAAGTAATTTCCTAGTTCATGATGTTCATGTTTTCATATGTGCTACAGATATATGCTTGTATGTTAGGTTTGGTATTGTATCTTGTGAAAATATTTCTACCTACCTTGTAATAAGATATTAGAGGAACAACCATGTGGTATGTTGTCTCTGATTTCTCTTATAATAAAGGTTGGTGTATTTTATATAATAGAACTTCTTGTTGTACATGTCTATCAGACGAAACTCATTTTCATGAATTATTTTGTGATATTATCTGGTGAAACTCATTTTCATAAATATTAGAACCACCATGTGGTATGTTGTCTCTTAATGCTATGTGATTGTTGCACTATTTATTGCATAGACGTTATTTTTTTATCTTTTTTTATGGTAGTTCTCTTGTATTAATATTGCTTTTCTTACTTATGGCTTGTTTGTCAATTTCTAAGAAAAAGGGCAGAAGTGCGCATATTTTAAGCGGGAGAATTGCTTGTGGGGGAGATTTTTTCTATGATTATATATCTTTAAGTAAGCTTTCAAAGGCAGTGTTGCATGTAAGGATGATCATAATTGATGACATACTTGTGATAAAGCTTCGTCATTGAGAGTTCAGTTATTTATTTTTCTATTTTTGGACAAAATTGTAATTTACTTTTTCTGCTTGACTTACATTACAATTGTCAAGGTTTTGTCACAAAATTGCCAAAGGAGGAGATGCATGTTTTTGTATTTACTAATTTCATCGTCAAAATGTGTCCAATCGAGTAATAATTTTTGGTTTATTTTTTTAAGTCTCGATGTCTGAAGTGAATTACAAGTGTAAGCATACTTCGATTCGATAAGAATGCCATTTAGAGAATGTATGTGAGTGAGGACACAATACACATTTGTGATTTAGTTTGGACAAGGTTGCAATTAGGGAAAATGTTTTTACGAGCTTCACCCAACTCGTCCCTTTAAGAAGGGAATGTCGATTCTTCCTTTTAATAAAGAAAGGGGACTTAACATTTTACTAGTCATTTCATGGCTTTGTAAATTCAATAGTCATATAGTCAGTAGTAGAGAAAATGTGAAACAAATGCGAACAATTATCTTTATTGAAAAGCTTATTGAAATAATATTTAACAGTCGATCGTCAACATTTATTAATGCTGGTCTGCTTTATTAAAGCTAAAACCCACTAAAGAAAAAGTAGGAACATACCATCACTTTAAAAGAGAGGTCACAAAGAAAATAAAAACAAGTAGTCTGGCATAAGCACCTACTGGTAATATTTCCTCAATGGTTTAGCATTCCATGGGTGGGGAAGATGTCTTCCTCTAAGTGTCTTTAGCCAATATGCCCCCGGTCTGTTGCTCTGGGTTACTCGATAGGGGCCATCTCAGTTGGGAGATAACTTCCCTTGTTCCTTATCCTTAGTAGCCGGGGTAACCTTGCGAAGCACCCGGTCTCCTGGCTCGAACCTCCTTAACTTGACTCTGGCATTGTAGTACTTGGATACCATCTGCTGGTAAGCTGCAACCTTGACCTGGCTTGCTATCTTATTTCTTCTACCAGGACTAGGTTTAACCGCAGTTCCATCTCATTCTGTTGAGGTTCAAAGTACTTGGTTCTGAAGTTGGCAACCGTTGTCTCTACTAAGATCACTGCTTCACTTCCAAAAGCTAATACAAAGGGGGTCTCCCCAGTGGGGGTCCTCACGATAGTGCGGTATGCCTAAAAGACTCCAGATAACTATTCTGGCCATAAGCCTTTGGCCTTTTCTAGGTGTGTCTTGATTATTTTCAGTATCGTCCTATTCGTGACCTCAACCTACCCATTAGCTTGGAGATGGGTAGGAGAAGATAAATGAATTTTGATCCCAAGCTCATTACAAAAATCATTGAACTTCTCACTATCAAACTGCTTCCCATTATCTGTCATGATCACCCTTAGTGCTCTGAACCTGCATATTATTGTCTTCTAAAAAAATTTCTTTACTTCATTTTCTCCAATATGAGTTAACGACTCAGCCTCCACTCATTTGGTGAAGTAATCGATGGCCATAATAGCGTATTTGGTTTGTCCCTTCCTTGGTGGTAAGGGACCGATAAGGTCTGTTCCCCATTGAGCGAAGGGTCACGGCCCTGTAAAAGGGATTAACTCTTCTGGGGGGTCTCTTTGGGACATTGGCGAATTTCTAGCACTTGTCACATCTCCTCACGAAATCAAGTGCATCTTTCTGCATTGTAGGCTAAAAGTATCCTTGTCGGATAGCTTTATGCGCTAGTGATCTGCCCCCGGCATGGTTTTCACAAAAGCCTTCATGTATATCCTTTAGAATGTAGTTTGCCTTATTGGTAGAGACACAACGTAAGTAAGGTAAATAAAATCCCTTTTTGTAAAGAACCCCATCAATGATGGAATATCTGGTTGCACGCATCCTAACCTTTTGTGCTTTTATGCGATCTTGCGGTAGCTCTTCGTTCCCTATGTACTTGATAATGGATTTTGCCCATTCCATGCCTTGGATGACCTTGTGTATTTTTTGTGGCCAATTTTGGACTGTGCTTGGCTCATCCAAGTGTTTTACGGGTATGGCTTTATCTTTCTCTGCAGTAGCTAGTCGAGTTAAGGCATTTGCCTGCTTATTATCTTCTCGTGGGATTCGATGAATGGAAAAATTTTAAAACAGCCCTTGATATCTATTATCTTGTGCATATAGGTTTTCATCTTTTCATCATTGGCTTCATATTTACCCTGGACTTGTCCAACTATTAGTTAAGAATCAGTATACGCTATTAGTCGTTCAACTCCCAGGGCTTTAGCCATCCTCAGGCCAGCCAGGAGGGCCTCATATTCCGCCTCATTGTTAATCGCCTTAAATCCAAACCTGAGTGTGTATTTGATGTTTTCCCCCTCTGGGTAAACAATTACTAGCCCTGCCTCACTCACACGGGCGTTGATTGACTCATCCATGAATAATGTCCAAGTAGATTCAGTTTCTTCTTGCTCATTTAAGTCATGCGTGTGCTCATCTTATGGTGTGAACTCTGCTATAACATCTACTAGTACCTAGGCCTTCAAAGCCATTCTGGATTTGTATTGGATATCGAACTCTCCAAGTTTTACTGACCACTTCATGAGTCGCCTCGAAGTATCTGGTTTGCGGAGGACCTGCCTAAGTGGTTGGTCTGTCAGTACTATGATTATATATGCTTGAAAATAGGGCATGAGTTTCCTTGCAAAGACGACTAGAGCAAATACCAACTTTTCTATCCTTAGGTATCTTTCTTCTGCCCCCCTGAATGCACGACTAGTATAATACACTGGTTTCTAGATCCCCTCCTCTTGGCAGACCAAGGCTAAGCTTATTGCCAATGGAAAGACCGCCAAATACAAATAAAACTGCTTTTTTTGTATCGCCCATGATAGTAACGGTGGTGAAGTGAGATACTCCTTTAGCTCTGTAAAAGCTTGCTTGCACTTAGACGTCCATTGAAAAGCTTTTTAAGCACACCAAAAAATGGTAGACACCTATCAATTGCCCCGGAAATTAACCTATTCAGAGCAGCGATTCTTCTTATCAGTCTTTGAAACTCTTTGGTTGATGCTGGCCGGAAACCGTATGTTAAGAATCACCCGAATCTTCTAGAGGTTGGCCTCTGTCCCTCTCCTGCTTACCATATAACCAAGGAATTTCTAGGGGAGATGCCAAGGCACATTTGCTTGGGTTGAGCTTCATTTGGTGTTTCCTGAGGACTTAGAATGTCTCTTGTAAGTCATCTAAGAGGTCTTGAGCTTTCAAGCTCTTTACGAGCATATCATCCACATATACTTCCATAATCCTTCCAATTTGGTTCTAGAACAACAAGTTGACTAGCCGTTAGCACCAATATTTTTGAGCCCAAAATGCATCACCTTGTAGCAATATAAACCTCTATCCGTTACAAAATATGTCTTCTCTCTGTCTGGTGGATGCAGAAAAGATGTCTTCTCTCTATCTGGTGGATGCATAGAGATTTGGTTATACCCTGAATATACATCTATAAAGCTGAGCAATTCATGGCCAGCTGTTCCTTCTACCAACATGTCGATCCTCGGTAGAGGGAAGCTGTCATTAGGACACGCCTTATTTAAATCAATAAAATCTACGCACAACGTCCATATTCCATTGACCTTTTTTACTAAAACAATGTTGGCTATCCAGTCGGGGTAATTAATATCTTAGATAAAATCAGCTTTTAAAAGCTTGTTCACCTCTTCTAATATAACCATGTTCCTCTCTGGGGCAAATGTTCTTCGCTTTTACCTAATAGACTTGAATGTGGGGTATATGTTTAATCGATGCTCCATTATAGCTGGATTAATATCCGGTATGTCTTCATGTGACCATGCGAATACATCTTGATTCTGTCTAAGAAACTGTATAAGAGCATTCGTGAGATCTGAGGGGAACAAAGACCCTATTGATAAGTGCTCAAATGTTACACATTTTAACACTTAAGTTAGGATTTTTTGTTTATTCATCTATCTTACTTTCCCGTTTTAGTTCTAATTTGTGTTTTTGTCTATTTCAGGTTAATAAGGGTCAAATATGCTAAAAAAAAGCCTATTAGCTTCTTTTTGGAGTCAAGAAGAAAATTCAAAAAAGTCAGAAAAACTGTACTGGACAGTCTTCAATCGATTGAAGGAGTTCCCATTCGATCGACAAGAACTTCAATCGATTGAAGTGAAGGCGATGCCAGCTTATCAATCCGGATAAAGCCAAGAAGATATTTTCATGCCACGTCAACTTCAATCGATCTAAGATCCTGTTGGCAGTGAGCTGTTTTATTCTCAAGCGCACCCGAACTCCACCAACTTTTGTAGCTGTGGGATTAGACCAATGAAATGCCTATTTTCTGACTTGTTGCATGTTCAAAGAGGCTGATATTTAAATGAAATTGGACCATTTTGTTAAGGTTCCAACTTTTGTTCCCAATTTTAGCTAAAAATAGATAGTTCTTAGATAATTTTCTCTCTCTAGATGAGGGTTTTTGGAGACCAAAACAAGAGGAAGAAGATGGTACCTACATTGAAGAAAGCCATTGAGGGTTGGATGACAACAACCATGAGTGGCTAGATCATTCTCTTAGGGCTAGAGATAGCCCCTAGGCTTGCCTCCTAAACTTAGTATTTTGTAATTTTTGGGAATTTTAGTTGTAATTGATGTTTTGATCTATAATTATATATAAATCTTAAGTTTCTATATGATTTGTATGGATTAATTCTTCCA